AGAATCTTGCTCCACTATTACTAGCAACTTTCATTTAATGTATAGAATTACAAGAGAGAGAAAAAGAATTCCATTGTTTAGCTATCGTCATCGTACGAATTAACGTAAATCTAGTTTAACATTTGGCTACAATCTATTCATGTGTTAGATCTAGGCATAGTACCTGATTATAATATGAGGTTCAGGTGTCATGCTTTCTGCAATAATAGCGTTAGGCGTTAGATACAAATATGATGATGTATATGCTTAAAATTCACCAACTAAGAAGAATTTAGAATTCACAAATCCCAGGTTTATTTTTGCTTGGGCTCTTGGTCCACGCATGACAATTGAACCTAGCTAGGCGTGAAGGGGGGTGTTAGAGTGGGTAAAAGTTCTATATTGGTTGGAAATGAATTGCTGATCAATCTCCTTAGATGGACTTGAACAATTCATTAGCTTTTGAGGTTGAGTTAAACCATGTACAATATCTTTACAAAATTTATACTATATATATAATAGGGATAAGGGTCTGAAAAATACCCCAACTTTTATCGAATTTGTTGTTGCGATACTAAACTTTCATGAGGACCTATTACCTCCCTAGACTATTTAATACCGTATTTTAAACATATATATTTGCCTACGTGGACATAAAAAATAATGCAAAATAAAATACACTATTAAATAGTTCAGGGGGTAAAAATACGGTATTAAATAGTCTATGGAGGTAATAGGTCCTCATGAAAGTTTAGTATCGCAACAGTAAATTCGACCAAAGTTGGAATATTTTTCAGACCCTTATCCCTATATAATAATAACTTACACTAAGATATTGAGTGAAAATTTTAATACATAGACAATATATAAGCTAAAACTATTGGGAGCCCGTAGGTGGAGCTTTGATGGACAGTGAGACAAATTTTAAATTTTTTACAACCACATAAATGTTATTATGACGTATTTAATATATTAATTTTTAAAAGTATCAAATTTCTTATAAATGGTTACATCATCTACATTATTTTATTGATATGGTCATTAACGTTGGCACTTGTAGTTTCCCCCTAAAATGTCATTTTCCAGAACGGATTCTCGCAGACAACGGGTCCTAGATCTACATGCTCTACTTAACATCCGTACATTTTCAAATCCTACAGGGTCATTAGTTAGTTGGTTTGCAGAAGAGTTATATAGGTATTAAATTCGACATAAATATTATTTTCTCTAAATTTCCTTTTGCATTGTTTTATTGCTTTAAATTTTATGCGCTAATCAATTGTACAAAAAATATTGATACAATAATATTACTTAGAAGATACATGGCTGCAAGTTACTTTATGTACTAGCATTGATTAGTTATGGGACTAATCCTCTGATATCAAGTTATTAAAAGAACTTTGATATGTTTATCCTATTAAAAATTGAATTAAGTTTGTACGTGAAGAAACATGATGAGAATATAATAACGTATAAAAATGATAACGGAGGGGATAGTCACACACTCCAACTTGGTGTTCCATTTTTCAACCAATCCCAACTAGCTACAACTTTCAATGGAGAAAGGAAACTGCAGTTATTGCATATTTGAGCAAAGTAAAAAAGCACTAAGCAAGTGGACTATATGGACAATTTGTTTCATTCTTCATACTTGGAAAATGGAAAAAATAAAAAGAGAAAAGAAGTGTTAATTAATGACTCTTTTTTTTTTAACTTCAAAGTTTGAGAAGTGATTATTTGTGAATGGGTAATGCTAAATGACCAGAAAATTTGATCAGAATTTGGCCAGAAATTTTAAAAAACTATAATATTTTTTTTATTTTAAAATAAACTGATTATTTTTTCATTTTTTAGTTAAAAAGTATTAAAGTTAAAAGGGAAAAAATATTTAAAAAGGTAAAATATCATTCTGGCCAAAAGGATTTTTCCTTGTGAATTTACACCAATAGTCAAGAAGGTGTGTGAATGAATTTATACTTGAGATTATTAAGAAAAATACTAATATTATATCTAATTTAATCTCAAAAACTAGTTCATAAAAATTTTCGTTCTTTTTAGTGAACAATAAGGTGAAATAAGAGAATGAGCGGCAAGGGTCAGCAAGTTCGGTTGTGATAGTGAAAGGTTGAAAAAAACGAAAGTTTATATGTATAGTGAAAAAAATAGACAAAGTGCAAAATCATTAGGAATGACGGAAGCACATGGTTAACATGTTCAGTGGTGGGGAAAGGTGGAACTTTTAATATCAACAAAAGGGCCACTTTCATTCTACAGCAAAATTAGGTCAGGGTTAAAAATAAGGAGTAATAAAGTGGTTAATACACATTCCATCTGTCTCTTTTATCTCCCTTAACTTTCTACTTTTCCTCTTCTTTTATGTGGTTTATACTATATTTGCGTTAATCATCACACAATCCATAAATCGATACTATACTTGAAAGTTAGTCATAGAGTTTGACATCCCATTAGTGGACTGTTGATTGTTACTATTACTCAATCAATTGATTAGTAATTGAATATAAATAAATGTAATTTTACCTTACGATTTAAGATAAGATAGTGACACACTTCCATGTGATATTAAAGAATTAGACAAAGGTTTGGAATTCAAATTTCAACGTCACTTATTATCAAAAATAAATAAATTATATGCTTGACCAATTAAAATAGAATCAGCTAGCATGTACATGAACATGTATGTTGAAGATATTCGCTACTAGAAAATATGGAATTAGCTATAAAATTTGCCAGTAGTCTTTACTCTCTAGTTAATTCGTGTAAAAAGTCGATCTTAGCTAATTGAATTTTCTTATAATTTATCACTATTATGTTGAAATTGGTATGAAATTTTTGTTGTTTAGCTATGAAATATTGTTCATCCCTAATTCCTTATATTCTAGTAGTAATATTTAAATAAATAAAAATATTTACCTGATTTTTTTTGTAGTTGATAATTTTGAATGATTCGCAATTCACTTTATAATCAACCATCATTTGTGTTTTGTATGTGCAACGTGACTACTAATCAAATATTACTTGCTTTGAACACTTGTCCAAAGGTAAAAGATTTGGTTTTGTAAAAATTGTTTTTTTATTACTACGACTACCGAGTAGACCTCGCATAAATTGAATGATAAAGACAGAACGAATCTGATAGAAGAGGAAATCTTTGAGTGGTAAAGTAGAATCATGACAAATTTATATTAATAATGTAAAATTTTTGGCATTATTAAAGTTTGTTTTTTTTTAAATAAAATAAAATCCCAAAATATCAAACTAGTAATGTAAGTTGATTATATCAAAGCAATCGTTAATTAAACTATAGTAATTTTGTAAAGAAATACTTGCAACATAACTGCAAGTATCGAAAATATTCGAAATAGTAATGCAAGTTGATTATTTTAAAGCAATCGACTTAACTATGCCGATATAATAGTGTAAAATGATTTTTTTTACAACATCGTTCAGGCAAGTAATGTTATTCATATTAAATTAAGGGAATTAAGCTATATATATTTATATATAGTTTTAGAAAAGAACATTATGAGTATAATTTCATTGTTATCAGTATTCATAGTAGCATATTATTGTTACTCTGCTATTAAGAGTTATCTATTATTATATATCATATTCCCTTACTTTAATGATGCGAAGAATTTATACATGCATTATCAAAACCAAAAACTTAATTTTATTTGTACCAAAAGCCCTGATCTAATATTGTATTACAGGCAAGAATTCAATTATCTCAGTTGCATATGGAGTACAGAGGCGGAGCTAGATTGGAGTTTGTGGATTCTGACGAACTCAGTAGCTTTACCGTAGACCCTGTATTTGTACTAGAAAATTAAATAAATATATATGTATATTAACTTGTGAACCCCTAACAAAATTGATTGACCGTTCAGTAGTAAAGAACCGTCATGCTAAAGTTGTAGCTCCGAACCCCCCTCTATTTTTTTAAAAGAAAATTTAGAATCCCCAAACTCTTAATCATGGTTCCGCCTCTGATGGAGTATCTTCTCTCTTCTTCTTCTTTTTTGGTCCTTTTCGGGTTTTTTTTTTGACAAGTACAAGCAAGGGGGGTTCGTTTTAAAATGTGGATTTTATTTTTATATTTAACATCTCTTCTTCTTAAGATTAATTTCATCTACGTCCGAGATTTAGTTTGTATCACAGTTACATCATCCTACTATTTTTTATCATGACTCATGGCTAAAAGCTCATTGACATCTATTACGAAGAGTCTACAAAACTAGAAGTAAAGAATAAATCGACTCATAAACGGGCAAAGAAATTAATTCGGACCCATGTCATCACTTTGCCACTTTTGTATTTATCTCGTCAATATTAGTTCTGATATTGATTATTGGCTATAACAAGGGCTGGAAAAAAAATATCGAATGAATTGAAATTTTTGGTAATTGGGTATTCGGTATAGTATTCGAGTGTAAAGTTTCAGAATTATGATATTCGAGTTTGAGTTTGGTATGAGACATTAGTACTATTTGGTATTTGTATTTCCCGAATACCGAATTATTTATTTAATGAAAATCATGTATCAACATGTCTATTACTCATTAGTACAATTCGAAAGACGAAAGTTAAAAATGAACATAAACAACCCAAATACATGTTTTTTAGTTGTATCATTTTTTTTTTATGTCTTCTTACTCATTGATCTTCTATTTTTATCGTGACATACAAAAATAGAAATGATTGAAAAAATAATATTAACTTTATAATATAATCAAGTACAACTTCAATACGCTATTACCGAATACCATATGAAATTTAATTTATCGATTACCGAACCAAAATTTAATAATCCCACACCAAATACGAAAGCCACCCCTAGCTTCAACTTGAATCAAAAACAAACTTAACATGCTGTGATATTTACACATTGGGATCAAATCCATACCACTCTGTCAAAAAGTCTTGTGCTTTTAAAAATATCCTTGCACCTTATAAGTTACTCCATATGTATAACTTTTTTTTTTTCTTAGATACAAAAATATAAAATTTTGTTTGCGCACACTTCATTATTTACTACAACCACCATAAAAGATTTTTTTATATACCACATCCACGCCTCAAAGAGTAAAAATGTAGTAGAAAACTGCTCATATAAAGTTAATTTATATTTACAAGTAAAAAGTACTACGAATTTGAGTGAAAGTTACATCCTCTGCCTCTGCCACTGCCCGTACTGGTGTATGAGGAGATGGCTTCATTGGAGATGACGGCTGCTGCTGAACCTCAGCAAGTACCTTGTCTGGTCTGGGAGGCTGACATGGACATGGCAATGCTATGAACTTGGGTACTTGATCTCCAGGCATTAACACTGCTGGCATGTCTGAGATTTGGTTTTGCTTAAAATTCTGTAAAACAGAGCAACCATAAAATTCAGCAATAGCCCATCACATGACAATTGATTAGACTTTTTTTTAGAATAAAATTCCAAGATAACTAAAAATTGAATAGATTCATATAGCCGATCCAACTAATTTGGTACGAGTGTTTGTAATTGAAATCTTACCATGTATGCTCGTTTAGATTTCAAATATGAAGGGTCTCCGCCGGCCTCGAGATCTGTGCCGTTGGCAATAGATCGACGGAGAGACCGAAGCTTGTCCCAATGGTAGCAACAAGAAAAGATGCCACTCAAGCTGAAAATTATTAGCAATAGAAGCGCAGTTCCGAGAGGGAAGCCAAGTGAAGGCCGCGACGCGTCTGAATGGGGCGGTGCATAATTTTGATTCTCCATTGTTCTTTCTGTGCTGATAATAATTCGAATTTTCTCCTTCCAACATACAGTGCAAGAAACAACTTCTGTTTAGAGAGGAAAAAATATGATACAAGTAGTGATAAGTTTGAGAAGGAAATGGAAATACAAGGAGAGTTGTGAGGCAGAGCAAGCAGATGGGGCATGAATTTATAAACTGAGAAATGTGTACACAATAAAGGTACGTCCACTGTACGGAGGAAGTGCTGGGACCCTTTTGAAGTAATCTTTTCCTCATTGGTAAAAGATTGCTTATTTATTTATGAATGAATAGTTTTTAATTAAGCGTGTTCTATTTTATCAGTATTTTTTACATTGATACTACAAAAGTCCAATATTTGCAAGTAATGATGGCCAAAACTTCAATCATGCAAATAATGACTATAATTTTGCAATTAAAGTCATGGTCAAACACCAATCTATCTGTTTATTTCGTTTTTGTAGTGGAGCATTTGTGCTACACATTCCTTTCACAATTTGTGGTAAAAGGTATTAAACCTCTGCTTCAGGCACGTTTGAGGTTGAAAAAATTACATTCACTATAAGTTCACTACAAGTCTATATGTCAAACATTGTCTAATTTGGAAATTTCATAAAAATCGATTAAGAAGTGACAACAAGATGAAACTCCATTAACATTTCACCCTAGAAAACTTTAGAAAGTTGGTTAAAGAAATTTACAAGTTAGCAGTGTGGAAACAAGAAAATGGGAAACGCCACTGAGCTGGCAACAGACAATGGATTCCAAAATAAAATAAAATATAATGATTAAGGTTTGATCTTGAAACGTCACACGGTGAATTTCAAATTTCTAAACCACTAAAATTTATATATACACATTAAAAAAAAAATATCTTACATATATCATATAATTTTTTATTGACACGGTTCAAGTGAACATCTTCCGGTCCTGTTAGATTTGCCCTGCTCTAAAGTAACTCGGCCCGCTTAAGCGGGATAATTAGTTTTAAAGGAGATATGTAGACGGCTCACACTAAAAAAAAATATGTGTGAATACTAGAAAATCTAACACATCTTTTTCTTATCTTTTTACTCTGTTAGTTTCTCTATTTGTTGCTATTGTTTAGAATTTTGGTAAATTATGACTTTGCTTTATAGTTCTTCAGTATTATCCCAAAAGATCTTTTCACATGGGCGGCTTCCTGGAAACATCCATAAGACATACATGAAATATTCTGTCTTTGCCGTCTTATCACCATGAAAAGGTACACGTTCTTAATTGTTTCACTTCAAAAGTCAATTCAATTGATCTTCAAAGTAAATTGAATTAGATGAACTAATTAACATATTAATATGATAGAAAAAATACATGAGATATATATAAACTCACTGCTGATTAAGAAAATGGAGGAAGTGGTGGATTCAACTAGATTTGGCATGAAGAAATCTAATAGTACAATTTTGTTAGCACGAAAGTAAAAAATGGAGATGAGTAATAAAATGGTTTTTTTCCTATGTACTCACCGCTAGAAGAGATGTGTTGACTGTTGACCCTTTGAGTTGTTAAAGTGCACAAGTATACATGGCATTCCATCGTATATATATATATCCAAATTCTTCTATTCTTATCTTAAAACGTTAAATGAGATAAGGATACCGCTTTTGGTAACTTACCTTCTTTTATTAATTTTTTACCTTATTATATAGGTAGGTGTTTGGTCATAGAATTTGGATTTTTGAACTTAAAATTTTAATTTGAAATTAGTGTATGTTTATGAAATTTCTGCTTTAATTTTAAAATTGAAGAGATGGTATGTATTATGTGAGAGGACTATATCAAAGAATAGCTGATTATTGTTATTATTAATTTATTAGATCAATAAAATTTTAAGATTATTTGTAATTCAAAATTTGTCCAAACTGACCTATAAGATGACTTTCTTACCCAACATACTTGGGAGGCTAGGACAAAAGCAAAACTAATAAGAAACTTAACTAATGTAGGTACTATAGTCACCACATTTATGAAAAAAAACCTAAAAAACCAATGAGTAGTGGACCATTCCAATTCTATTATTAACCAATAATTATGTGTTGTCTCCTAAGTCCTAAGTATAATTAAGCTCACTTATCAAAGTCACCGTATAAGTAATTACTAATTAGCATGGGGTGTTAATTTAAACTAGTGTGGCCTAGCTAACTGTGCAAAGCTTGACAAAACGTATTTCACGAGAGGAAACAGTGAAGTTCCACAACTATATTCAGAGATAAAAAAAACGTTGAATAGGAATTCAAGTTTGAAACGTCTATGACAAAAGTTGTACGTATTTTCTACTCTTTGGCCCACAAGTTCTTATTTTTTCTTTCAATATTCTTCCATGTCAAAGACAAAAAAAACTCATATAGACTAAAGTAAGATGCTCGCCGTCAGTCATGGATACAAATCGACATCCTTTTAATAAGAAAAATTGTATTGAATCTATTCGATTATTTAGTAAAAAATCTGACTCTTTCGTTACATACAGAATTGAACCAAAAGTCCGTTCGAAGAGTGTTGTGGCTGGATTACACTTTCATATATTATCTAGTAATAGAAAAGTCTGATTTCATAAGCCACTTGCGTACATAACTGATCATCTACCCAATTGTCCTAGCTATAGCTAGGCTTTGGCTCATGCTAGTGGACAGTGGTACCATTGAAAATGAACATTTTGGTCTACTTAATTCTCCCATACAACGACGCACGCCGCCGTAACTCATGAAATAAAAAATCAACTGAATCAAGACAAAGATGTCTTGAGTAAAAGGGTAGAAATTTGTCTCATCAGTCATATTCATTGTCTTATTCATATCAAGTTTTCAACCTCCTATTAAGGTTGCTTCCATACGATGATATATATGATCAATTACAGATCAGCTACATCAAGATTTTGATGCTTTTGAGTTTTGGCATATGCTTCCATAAGGACCACTGCCATAAATTCCTCAAATGGCGATGAAAAACACAAACAGGGTTTAAATCGAGACTTTTGATTAAGAAAAATATAACCTAACGGTGAGACTTCTGATTAAGAAAAAATAACTTTAACTTACTGTACTAGATCCCTTAATTGTTATGTACCTGACTCATTTACTCGTATATTGGTCATAGTATTAAGATTTCAAGTCCCAAATTAGAAAATTATAAAAGTTTAAATCCAATTCAATCTGTAATTAAAAAATCTACACCAAAGATATAAAAAGATCAAATTTTAATTTGGATTTCGATTTTACCCCAATTATGCCCACCCTAATAAAAGTGTATCTAGCGAGTAGCGAGTAGCTAAAAGGGAATTTTATATCTTACAGCTATATAACTTTACAACTGTACATGACAATTCACGCCCAAGTAGTTTGTATTTCTATTTTCCACCCTTAATTAACTGCAATTTTGAAACATCATAACACGACAAAGCCGTAAAGTCCAAATTACGAAAAAAGAAATATATAGATAAGAGACGTGAGTATATCGTCTCTGCCTACTGCCCTGCTCTAAAGATAAAAGTAGCAATAAATTATTAATTATATCTATTTATTAAAATTCACTTTTTTGTTTTTTAAACCTCGTGTTTAGTCAAACAATAGGAAGGCGAAGGATATAATTATTTTGGACCAACTGTTTTTAAAACAATTAAAATGAAGGGGATATGTATATTATCCTTCTCTTTTTCTGTCGAAGATCAAATTTTTTCTTTATCGGTGTTAATGAGATAATATGTCCTCATAAGATTTAAGCAATCCTCATTTCATTTAGTTAGTTTTTTGAAATGTGAATTAGGTCAGATGTCCATTTCTTTAGATCTTTTAAGTAATACGTTTTTATTAAAAAAATTATTGTCATTTACCTTGATTAATAATATTTCAAATCCATCATAATCCCGACAAGCACTTGTCCTTATCCTACTCATGAACTCGTGGAACTATTTTAGGATTGTTCAGTTTGAACTTTCTCAAAATCAGCTAGAACAAGAGTTGTAGAGGTTTTGTTAACTTTATTCGGCAACTTATAAGTGTTTGAATTGACACTAGAAGAAAAAGAGAGTTAACAAAGTGAGATTCTATAATTATAGCTAGGATATTAATGAGAAGAAAAAGTACTTTGTCCATTTTCTAAACCCCCCCTATCAATTTATTGGTATAACAAAATTCGCTAGATAAAATTCATCAATAACAATAACATTAATGTATTCAGTGAAATTCATAAATAGGGTTTGGAGATAGAATATATACAAAATTTATCATTACCCACGAAGTTAAATGATAGAATTTTTCTTTCAAAGTATGGTACAAGATCAAATGAGAGGATAACTTGGGTTATGTATACGGGAGTACAAGTGAATGATACCTCATAAAGTATAGACATAAAACTAAAATAAGAAAATAAAAAGGACATATACCTAAATATTGTAATTATAACTAGTAGACTCTAATTTCAATTCAGTGCTGAAACAATAGTAAACTGTTCTATCTTTACCCAATTTGAAAAGAAAAAAGTACAAAGAGATATGTGCAGATGGGCCATGTGTTGCCCCCTAGCTCAAGTGTCATTGCTGTAGTTTTAATACTATTTCTGTATTAATTTTTTTTTTATAGATTTCCTATGTATTTTGTACCTATCTCCTATAAAAATGATCATACAACGAAATCACAATTTTAGACTGTCTTCTAGAATTTCTATAATAATGATCTCTTATAAAATAGCTCACGTAACAAAAACAAATATATGTAACGGACTACAAAATTAAATTCCCCGACTTTGTGTCTCAATAATTTATTTATGATGAGATTGCCCAACTCAAGAACTATAAGACATTCACTTGTCAAGGAAATTTCTAGGAACTAACGCTCATAATCTAAAAGTAAGAAAAGGCACATGTATCAAACTATATAGGTTATTTCAGAAAGTGAAGGCATAAGAGTTCATTCAGAATTTCTTTGTCAAAAAATTATATATATTAATATTCCTTGATTTTTTCACTGGCTTATTTTTTAATATTTTGAAATTATTTTAATAAAAAAATTGATTTTATCACTAATCGTTATAGCTCATCGTCTTCTGATGACTTGAACCTTGGGCATTACGATCGGCCACTTTGTCGATCGTAATTGTGCAAATAATTCAACATAAATTTAATGAAGCGCACTTATGTTTCGTTATCTTATTAAATTTTTCAACACAAATATAGCACTACTGAAATTAATTAATCCCAAAAACTGAGCCTCAAGATATTTAATTAGGGATATTATGGTGCGTGTCAATTTTCTTTTGGTGATAGTGCATGCCAACAAAAAGGTAGTCAGTGTCTGGACTCCAGCCGACGAAACAAAAAGAAAAGTTTGCATTTACTTTTGCATAATTTTTTCTAGACAAGATGGGGCAGTAGAAAATATCTTAATATAAGAAAAATTCGAGATAGATATTAATCACTTGTGAAAATGAAATAATTTTACAAAACTTTGGTATCACCAAGTCTTTTCAAGAATTGAATGGTCGAAAAATCTAGTTTGGTTTATATACCATATCTTGTTGATAGGAGGTTAAGTAATCATGATGATCGTTTTATTCACAAAATTTAAATGGAGATAAAATACTCACCGAGGAAAAGACTATGACATGCCAAGTCTAGTGTTTATTGTTGAGAAGCTAGTAAAATGTACAGCTGTCACTTAGTTCTAACAGACTAGTTAAGTAAGTTAACAAATTTAGTTTGTTAGAATCTGTTAGCTTATTAACTGACTGTATATATAGATGAGATAGTATTAGAATGAATGCAGTAGTAAGAATGATTCTCTTGTAAAGACTTTCAGTGTTGAAGAAGAAGTTTTCTCTCCATTGTCAAGCAAGCTAATCTTCTATTCATTACTGCAGTATCTCAATTTTCTGATCTTAACATGGTATCAAAGCATGGGCGAATGTTCTAGGAGCTTGTCGTCTTGCTGATTTTTTTTGTTATCTCGCTTGTTTCATCGTTCGATCATCGTTCGATCATCGTTCGATCATCGCGATTGAGGAAGAATCTGGAGGATCGGGTAGCAGACTTCAAGGAGAAGCCATTACTGGAAGCTCGGTGATGATTGATCACAATCATCCACTGTTTTTGAGTTCATCGGATGTACCAGGAGCACTATCAATAGGGATCCAATTGACAGGGATGGAGAATTATACCCTGTGGAGTCGGGCTATGGAGATTGCATTGCTTGGACGGAACAAATTGGGATTCATTGATGGCTCTGTTTTGCGCACTGATTTTGAAGGAAATTTGAAGAAAAATTGGGATCGATGCAATGCAGTGGTCATCTCTTGGTTAATCTGTAATGTTAGTAAGGAGTTACTATCTGGAATCTTATACTCAACCAGTGCTTACCAGGTATGGCTTGATCTTAAGGAGCGTTTCGATAAAATCAATGGATCTAGACTCTATCAATTGCATAGGACCATTTTCACTCTTACACAGGGAGTCTCAACAGTTTCAACTTATTTCACCAAATTGAAAAATTTGTGGGATGAATATGATTCTATTTTACCCCCACCTAGTTGTGATTGTCATAAGGCTAAGGAGTATGTTGAACAGATGCAGTATCAGCGTCTGTTACAGTTTCTAATGGGGTTG